TTGCTGCTTTGTCGCACTACGTTACACTTCACTCCTCCCTACTACTCAACATTGTCCACCAGTGAGTGAACGTATCCCACGGCCCTGTTGAGGGCCACCATTGACACACTCATTCTTGGTTGTTGTGGCTGAGACCTGCATTTTTACCACTCTCCGTCTCTCTGCCTTGTTTTTTTGCTCTTTCAGTCTCATTGTGGCGCCACTTGCTAGGCGCCAGGATTGGTATTGGGGGTAATCTAGGTGTGGGGGTCTAAGGAAGGTAAGGGGAGGGGATGTGATAATGCGTGTGGGGATAGTTAGGTCAGCGATGAGAAGGGAGGAGGGTGGGCTTTGTGCTGGGTTGAGTGATTTCAGTACGTTGCTTTGCAGGTTTTGCATTCTGAGTAACATGACACGTCAAAGCGATTTCTCCAAACCATTCTCTTCAACTAACGCCTTTTGACTGCAATCTGCAGCAGATCAAATCGCATTAATCGGCATAATGCTTTAACTCATCCATAGACCCTTCTCACGGCATCTGATTCTCAGTAGAATCTGGATGACTTTGCTGATTTGTAAAAAATGCACTTGGGCTGGAAGATCCCGAGAATCAAAAACTTGTGATGTTATTAGGCCTCAGGTCAGTACCATTCATATTATGTATAATACCTGACTAAAGTCGTCAGACGGATGCCGTAAATATGACGGAATTAGACGCGATTGAAAAAGATGAGTCGTTAAGTATCTTTGATTCGTGGTAAATGGTTAAATGTCCTGAAGCCTCTACCACACTTTTGTGTGAATGCCGATTACTAATAAAAAAATCGACCTGGAAGACTGGCTCAAGCCTTTCGTGTAACTCAAGCCTATAGCTCGTTAAAGCAAATGTGAAATATGTCTGAAGCTGCAAGTTAATGTAGCATCCTTATGAAGTGGCGTTAGGAAAGAGTTGAAGTGCTTCTATGATAGCACCGCAGCTTATATTCTCCGTGTTTGTTAGGGTAGGAAAGAAATCAAATTGTAAATGGACTATTTAGCTGGAATCATCGGAGGTTTTCTCAAATCAGCTTAAATGGAGGCAGTGTTTGGAGCAGAACTACCGAGTGTTAACAAGTCAACTTGACAAGA